CACACACACAGGAAGGATACATGTCCAGGGGACTCATCTTGCTGATGAAGGAGCGGATGGAGAACAGCATCCCGTACATCAGCTTAAACTCCTGATGAAACAGAACAGAATCAACCTTCATCTACATGATAACGACTGTCACTTCAGCAGCATGAGCACATCTGAAAAATAACAACACATATTTACAGCTATAAGAATATGAGGAATATCAACTCTCTGTACATAGAATAAAATTAATATAGGAAGGACATATGAATAAATATAAAGATAAAATAAGCATAATATGGTTTGTCGCTCATGAAAAAGGCATTTTAGCAAATGGTTGTGTAGGAAATATTTGACTCACGATTCTCCCTCCATTTATCTTACAAACATCATTTAGTCATTTTACTGCACTAAACCATGCTGATGAATAATGTGACATTTATCATACTGTCATTTCTGTGTTGGATGTTAAGAGTTTTTTTTAAAGGTAATTATTATTAATGATAAACAAAAAAGAAATATCACAATTTACAGCAGTTCATCCACTGTAATTATTCCATTTAAATGACCTTATTATGCAAACAATTCAGCATTTTATTCTCATTAATCAAAATACTTATTCTGTGTACGTGTACAGTGTTAGGCTAACTGACTTCATTTGTAAGTCGCTCTGGATAAAAGCATCTGATAAATAACTAAATGTAAATGTAAAAAAATATATAGATATAAATGTATTTTTATGACATGTAGCACTTAATCTCATATAAGGTGTAAATGCAAGGAAAACTCAAAATTTTGTCTTTTATCTCACTGCTCACTGACTTTTTTTCAAACATTAATTTTTAAGAAATTATTTTAAAATTTATTTTTAAACATTGTTAAAAAAATTTATTTTCAATTTTTTTTTAAATAAATATCAGGAATACCAAAATAAAGTACATTTTTTAATAATAAATAAATAAATAAATTTAAAAAAAATATATATGACAATTATAACACAATACTCAAAAACTCCAAAAATGTAAAAACTAATTTTTTAATATATATATATATCTATAGTGGTTTTCCACAATTTTGTTGTTGGGAAATTACGTTTTGTATGACTGAAGTTACTGAATACTAAAATGTATTAAAATGTATTTCCAGGTCATTTTTTGCTCATTTAAAGGCCATTTTTCCTTAACCGTATTAAATGCATGCGTCATCTTTCATATCAAATTCTTACATTTTATTAATAATTTCACTTAATATAATAAGACACAATAGGGCTGTTACCAATCAAATGAAATCAGTATTATCAAACCCGATCTTTCCACTGCAGGAGAAACAGAAGCAGCTGAAGTGGCATTTAGATGCATTTACACAGATGTAGCTGAAATTAATGCATTAATGTAGCATGAATGCATTTATACTGCAAAATTATAATATAGCATCAATAATGTTATGAGTTTGGTGTTTTAAATCAGTTTTTTAAAATTATACAAATATGAAATGTTGGGAAAAATGCAAAGATAAGCTACTTTTAAATATGAGAATAAACCGCCAGTAGATGAGTCACTGAGGCATTCATTCAAACGATTCGTTCAGATGACTGATTCCTTCAAGCATTGAAGAAAAGTCTTTATGAATGGACCACTGAACCACACAAATCTTTTTATTTGTGATGCCATGGTTTGCCCACTAGTTACCTGTATGGCTCTTTAATGAATATACACATGTATCTACTAGTCTAGTTTCTCAAAAGAGCATTGCAGCTCATACCTGCTTACTTATTTTTAAGTTTTGCATTTGAATACATATTTAGACATGATTAAAGACTAGGTTTTTTAAATGTGAAGTTTAAAAAGTTAATAAATTACATCCTTTTTTCATTTTTAATGATACTCGTATACGTACACACAAGTGAATATTAATGAAAACAAGCAAATACTGAATTGAACCCAAGAAAAGTTTAAAATGGTGCAAAAAAAAGGCATTCAACTGCATTCAACAGAAGATTTGTTTCCCCTACAGTATATACATATGTACTGACATTGAATCGAGATCAAAATCTCACTTCAAGCTGAACTTGAAAGTTGGCAACCCTGAAATATATGTATATATATATGTGTGTGTGTGTGTGTGTGTGTGTGTGTTTCTGAGTGTGAGTGTGTGTGTTTCTGAGTGTGTGTGTGTGGGAGTGAGTGTGTGTGTGTGTGTGTGAGTGTGTTTCTGAACCTCTTCTTGGGAGATTCCGGCTTGTTTCTTTCGGTTCCATTCGCTGTAATGAAGGCAGCTGCCATTGCGATCAAATATGTACAAGTTATGTACAGTCATCTGAGAAAAATAACAGAAATGACACGATAACTGATGATGATGATGATGAGTATAATATCAGTGACACAAACACCGTCTCTGTTCAACATCACAGTCTACCATAGATAACACACGATCACAGAATTAAATCACATCCAACATAAATACTCTGCGATGATCTGTATCGTGTTCGGATTCATTATGATGTTTAATACAGTAAATGTTGACGCATTTCATTGTTTACCTTCCGCACGGCTCTGCCCTGAGACTGACGCGACAGCTGCCTGAACAAGCGTCAACATTCCCCGGGAAATATTTTACCAATCTAATATGCTTCAAACGAAAAATAATAGAAAAAAGACCACCGCGTGTTATTGTTTAAATTCTGTACTGCATTTCCGAGAATGTGTTTTCTGATCTATCAGGCATGTGTGATGTTTTAAGACAGGCGCATGTGCGGACTCCTGCCAGGGGTCCTTCAGTAACGGTCTTCATTCAAGATGGCGACAGCGCTGCAGTTTCCTGCTAACGTTTCTACTTTAAATACTTATAATGATTTATATCCTGACTGGACGCAGAGAGAAGTCAGCACCGGGGTGAGAAGTAGACATGATTATTATAATAATCTCAAAAGATTGCTGTAGTGCTGTAGAGAAACGCGTTTCTGAGCTCGCGCGCTCCGTGAATGATGCAGCAGAAACAGAAGTCAACAATAAACTCATTCATATCGATCTCATTATCAGATCAATTTAACATTATTTGTTATAGTAGCGCGGTTACTAAGTATGACAGTATTATTAACGTTATCTTCTAGATGAATCAAAGCAGTACGAGTAGATGATAATATAACCGAATTATCTCTCAAATTACTCCGGTTTACTATGAAAGACTAATTATGCTCAACACAGATGAGATATATATATATATGGTAATTGCGAATTTTTTATTTAATTCTGAACTTTTCTAGAAACTAGAGTTTAGTTTTCTGTAGTTTATATTTTACAATTCGCTCTTTTTTCCCTCAAAAGGGCTGCTTTTCATCTCACAATTTTTTTGTTTATACCTCACAAATTATACTTTTTTTCTCAGTTGCAATTTATTTAGTCATAGTTGACTTTTTCCTAACATCTATGAGATTATATCTCACAATTATGACAAAAAATGGAGTATTAAAAAAAAAAAAAAAAAGATACTTTAGATCTCAATTCATACTTTTTTTTTCTCAAAATTGCAACTTTTTTTTTTATCTCCGTTGACTTTTTCTAGCATTTTTGAGTTTATATCTCCAGTTCTAGACTTTTTTTTTTTTTAACTGCAAGTTTATATCACATTTTTTTTATCTCACAAATGTGTACCTATTTTTCTTAAGAACGTGATATTGCTTTTTTAGCATCTGAGAGTTTTTAATTTTCTCAAAACTTTAAAAAAAAAAATATTTTATTTATTTATTGCTTCTGTGAGTTTTCTCAAATCTGTTTTTTATTTTAATTCATTCATTTAATTTTGGTACTTTGAATTTTCTCAAAACTGCAAATACTTTCTATCTTACAATTCTTTCTAGTAACTGCGCTTATATCTCACGTTTTGCACTTTTTAAAAAAATACAAATTGTGAATTTTTACCTCACAGTTTGTCCTTTTTATCTCACAATTCTTTTTTTTCTAGCAACTGCCAGTTTATCTCACGATTTTTCTCAAGTTTGCGTCTCAAAGTGTAAAAACAAGACCCTTTTTCTCAGAGTTCAGGGTTCACAGCGTCTCCAGGTTTCTCGAGGCCTCAGCAGAGAGACACACGTTAGTGGCTAGGCTGTGTGCTGTGCTCATGTGTTTGTCTCGGTGTTGTTCAGACCACTATCATGGCGGTGGAGTTTGATGGAGGAGTGGTGATCGGCGCTGACTCTCGCACCACCACCGGGTGAGACGGAGAGAGACCGCTTCTGTCAGTTTAGCTGGTGCTTCTGCTCTGTCTAACTGTGTGATGTGATGTGTGCAGCGCTTACATCGCCAACCGCGTGACGGATAAACTCACTCCCATCCACGAGCGCATCTATCGCCAACCGACGGATAAACTCACTCCCATCCACGAGCGCATCTTCTGCTGCCGCTCCGGCTCGGCGGCGGACACGCAGGCCATCGCTGACGCCGTCACCTACCAGCTGGGCTTCCACAGGTACAGCTCCAGCACAACAATATAATCTCAGACCAAGCCCTGGACACCAGATCCACAACAACTCGTAGTCTAATGCTTAACAAAAACTTAGTTGTGTGTGTCTCAACACTCAGATTTCGTCTGACCAGCTTCACGACAACATCCCAGAAACATTCCCTCGTATCTCTTATTCATGAAGACAAACAGCCCTTGAAACACACAGTCATAAGACTAAACAACAGTGGAAGAACGATTATGTGAAATTAAGATGTTAAAGATAGAAATTAATCTTTCCCAATACGTTTTAAGTAGATTTTTACCTTTATAAAGCTTTATATGCACGCTTTCTAAAAGTGTGCATTATCTTTTGAGTCAAATTCTTACATTTAATTAGTGAATTGGAATAATAAGACATTTGGGCTGTTACCAAACAAATGAAATCATCAACTAAATTCATCTTTGCAGCGCAGAGGAAACACAGAAGCTGCGTCTGAAGAGGCGTTTAGATGTGTTTACACACTGTTTAATGCAGGACAGGAATGCATTTAACCTGCAGTTACACATG